ACCTCCATGTCAATAAAACCGAAACTTCTCAGAGTGTTGATCTCCTGGTTCCCACTCAGCCTTTACTGGTTCCTCCTACAGATCTCCATGTCATTAAAACTGACACTTCCCAGAGTGTCGATATCCCCGGTCCCCCTCAGCTTTTACTGGTTCCTTCTACTGATCTCCATGTCAATAAAACTGACACTTGCTGGAGTGTCAATATCCTGGGTCCCCCTTGGCTCTCACTGGTTCCTCCTGCTGACCTCCATGTCAATAAAACTGACACTTGCCGGAGTGTCAATATCCTGGGTCCCCCTCGGCTCTCACTGGTTCCTCCTGCTGACCTCCATGTCATTAAAACTGACACTTCCTGGAGTGTCAATATCCTGGGTCCCCCTCAGCTCTCATTGGTTCCTCCTGCTGACTTCCATGTCATTAAAACTGACTCTTCCCGGAGTGTCGATATCCTGGGTCCCCCTCAGCTCTTACAGGTTTCTCCTGCTGACCTGCATGTCATTAAAACTGACTCTTCCCGGAGTGTCGATATCCTGGGTCCCCCTCAGCTCACATTGGTTCCTCCTGCTGACCTCCATGTCATTAAAACTGACACTTCTCAGAGTGTTGATCTCCTGGGTCCCCCTCAGCTTTTTACTGGTTCCTCCTACTGATCTCCTTGCCACTGCTATACCCTGTATTGATGTGGAAGTCAGCAGGGGGAATCAGTGAGATCTGATGGAAACCCCACGCTCTTCAATGGCCCATTTTATCAGTGTTTGGCATCTCAGGCAACATTAGAGGAAAGTATTAGACTTTTCTTTTGCAGGGATATCTTTCCTGTATAGAACCAGGGTTGTCATACACTAAAACTATGGCCTTCCATTGAAAAAAATATGTGATGTAACAATTATAAGATCAGCTGCAATAACAGTTTTCTCCTAGTCCCTCTTCAAAGTCCCAGAAATACCCATTGATGCTTCCAGTGAAGTCCATGTAATGCAGCTTTTTGTGATGGTGTGGCAACAATGCTGCACCGCTCCTGAAGTCAGAGCAGAGTTGCCTCTCTAAGGTAATATATACCTGTGTGCACTACAGTGGGATGAGAAAAGGTTGCAGGGGGGTTGTTAATACATGTGGTTGAGGGGCACCAAAAACAGGTGGTTGAGACCATGTGTAAGATTGGAGGTTGTGGTTTTACTGCCCCCCGAGCAACCCCCTTAAGCTGCAAATTCATCTCTGTGGCCACTTCAGAAATTATCTCCACGTATAGCTTTCCACAGCAATACTTTAAGTGAAAAGGGCTAGATCACAACTAAATGCAATCCATGCGGGTATGCTGTGGTAGTATGACATTTATAGGATAGTTATATCGCCCCCCACACTCACACACACACTGCCTGTCAAATGCCTTTGAAAAGCAATTCATCATGCTTTTCAGAGGGGCGGCAAAGTCTGCTGCATGAGTAAATTAATGTTATGAGAATAGTCACTGCTTATTCACAAGCCTAGTATCTTGCCAGTCAGCACCTGGTCACACTTACTCCTGCCCATTGCTTTCTGCATTTCCTCTGCAGCTGAAACCCTCCCACCCTGAGCTGCAGTGTCTGGATAACGGAGCGTGTGTGAGACAAAAATGAAGGATTTGGTTCAGTCACATTATTGAATGTGTATTGAGGAGCACCTGGTACACAAGTTCTTCTATCTCTCCATGTCAATGCAAACAATGGTCGCCAGTATCACTCCTCAAGTGTATGGTAAAATTCACAGTAGATAGTATATCCATGCAAGATAAGCAGATAAAGCACTCCTCGGAGTGTAAAACCACTTAAACACCTTTGATAGGACATAAAAATGCACTTACAGACATAAGACATGTATATGCGAATCAATAATCGCCAAGTTTCTGTGCGCAATGACATCACAGGGTGAGGCTCCGCCCGATGCGTTTCATCATAATAAAACGTTATCCCAGGCTGGAAAATGAACATCCAGGTGGAGCATATAGAGCGTTTATGACCACTCAGAATAAGGGGGCATTTTAATCTGGTAAGCCTGCGTCTTATTCGCACTGCAGTGCCGGGATGGAGAGAAGAACATTGAATGCTGATGTATTTCAATTCACCCACTGTGGACTTTGAGTTTTTATTTTTTCACTATTCATTTATGTTGACATATTTCAATGCTGACATACAGGCGTACCTCGGTTTACGAATTTAATTCATTCTGCGGGTCTTTTCGTATTGTGAAAAATTTGTAAACTGAAACGCGGTTTCCCACAGGAATGAATTGAAAACCAATAATCGGTTCCGGAGGTCAGAAAAAAAGTCAAAAAAAGTTTTATCTGTTCAAAACTCTTTATAAAGTGCACTTTAAAGGCATAAATACTGTACAGGGACATAATTAAAAATTAATTTGTAAATGCATTGAAAACCAATTAATCCATTCTGGAGGTCAGGAAAAAAGCACTTTAAAGGCATTAAGGGACATGATTAAAAAAAAAATCATAAATACATTGAAAACCAATTAATCTGTTCCAGAGGTCAGGAAAAAGTCCAAAAAGTTTTATCTGTTCAAAACTCTTTATAATGTGCACTTTAAAGGCATAAAGGGATTAAAAAAAAATTTGTAAATGAATTGAAAACTAATCAATCCGTTCGTATTGCAAAAAACAATTGTAAACCGAGCCATTATTTTCAATGGATTTTCATTCGTAAACAAAAAATTACATTAATTGAGGCGTTTCTAAACCGAGGTACACCTGTATTTCAAATTATTCACTGTGGACTTTGAGTTTTTAATTTTTATTATCTATATGGTGGTTGCTTTGAGACATGTAGTTAGTTCATTTTTGTTTTTTTCATATATTATAATATCACTATATAGCGCAACACTTTGTATTACACAATTTGGTATTAACCACTAGCCTACAGGACACTTATACCCCTTTCCTGTCCAGGCCAATTTCCAGCTTTCAGCGCTGCTGCACTTTGAATGACAATTGTGCGGTCATGCAACACTGTACCCATATGAAATTTTTATCATTGTTTTGTGACAAATAGAGCTTTTTTGGTGGTATTTAATCACCTCTGGGTTTTTTTTTTCTTAAACAAACCAAAAACCACTGAAAATTTTGAAAAAAAAAAAAAAAAAATGTTTTTTCTTAGTTTTTGGTATAAAATTTTGTAAATAAGTGATTTTTTCTCCTTTACTGATGTGCGCTAATGAGGCTGCACTTATGGGCACTGATAGGCTGCACTGATGGACACTGATAGGTGGCACTGATGGGCACTGATGAGGAGGCACTGGTAGGTGGCACTGATGGGCATTGACAGGCATCACTGATGGGCACTGAAAGGCAGCACTCATATATGGCACTGCTAGCTGGCACTGATAGGCAGCACTGACTGGCACTGATAGGCGGCACTGACTGGCACTGTTAGGTGACACTGACTGGCACTGTTAGGCGGCACTGATATGCAGCACTGACAGGCACTGATAGACGCCACTGATGCACACTGATAGGCGGCACTCACTGGCACTGATAGGCGGCACTGACTGGCACTGATAGGTGGCACTGATTGGCAGCACTGAGAGGTGGCACTGACTGGCATTGATAGGTGTCACTGACTGGCACTGATGGGTGACACTGAAAGGCAGCTCAGATGGGCACTGATATGTGCCATTGATGTGGCACTGATGAGCACTGAAATGTGGAACTGATGGGCACTGGCAGGTGGCATGGATGAGCACTGAGAGCTGGCACTGATGGACACTGACAGGTGGCGCTGCTGGGGCTACACAGATCATCAGGGCACACTGATCATCAGTGCTCTGATGATCTGTGTACGTGTCCCCTCCAAGGAATGCCGATTCAGCGTGACAGCTCGTGGGGAGAGAAATGCCCATAACTGGCATTTCCCTGTTTACATGTGATCAGCTGTGATTGGACACAGCTGATCACATGACCGAGCCGACATCTTTGGCTCTTTCCGTTGATCGGTGATCCGCTGTGTCCGAGGGACAGAGCACACCGCCCGATCGCTGCGCTGCATGCGCGGTTAGAATGGGAGGACGTCATATGACGTCCTCCCAGAATGAGAGAAACGCCTTGCGTTCGTCATATTACTATATGGCGGGCGGAAGGCAGTTAAAGAGGATATCTTAAATGTTGTTTTGTACACAGTTTTTACGGTTTCCAAAATCTTCTACAGTTGCATATTCACCTGGATCCCATGGCTGTGGCCTGTGGTGTTTTTTTACATCCAGCGGTGCAAGTCTCACTTTCCTAGCAACACCTGAAAACTACAATCCCATAGACATTCTAAGGGGCCATCTCTCTTCCTCTCTGGCCTCAGGACACAGCCCCATACAAGTCTATGGGGAACTAATGCATAGGCAAGACTTGCACTGCTGGAAGTAAGCAAACACCGGGGGCTATGGCTGTTGGATCTTTGGATGGGAAGGATGGGTTAGATTAGGGTAGTGGGGCACACAGGATTGTCTAAAATGCACTTTTCCTTTAAGTACCCCCATAGAATCTCTGAACTTTATCATTCTGTATAACACTTCCACTTCCATTTGTGTGTTGCTGTTATTCTCCTTAAGAGCTGCCACAGCTGCGGCAGCAGTAAACACGCTGTCACAGCTTCTATATCTTAGTCATTCTGTCATATATCTGTCACAATCCTGGGCAATTCTAACTTGTATGATGACAAAAATGCTCAGGCTGAGGTTATCATCAGTTGAAACCTTATGTCAACATCATCATAACATCCTGAAGATGGATGCAGCTGAAGTTTCTTATACCATTTAAAGTTGACCCAATTTTTGCATAATTACATTGGTCTAATTTGGACCAATCAAAATATGTATGCACCATAGCTGTGGCATCCCATGCTGAGCATCTGTACTGCTGCATTGTGAACACGGGAGGTCACACACTCATACAACAATGATCAAACCAAAAACGGGAACCATGCTAAAGTATACTATGAATGAATAGACTGATTGCCTCTCGGGAGATCAGGAGGGAATTTGTTTCCCAGCAGGAGCAAACTGGATCATGCATTTCTGGGGTTTTTTTTTTGCCTTCCTCTGGATCAACTGTGGGCAGGGGCGGACTGACCATTTGGAAACTCGGGCACTGCCCGAGGGCTCGGGGTCAGTAGGGGGCCCCATGAGATGCCCCTGGTACCTTTTTCATAGGCTTTTTTGAGTTTGGGCAAGGACACAGGGGCCCCATGATCCCCTATTGCCCGGGGGCCCCATGAGTTGTCCGTCCGCCCCTGACTGTGGGTATAGGATTATAACTTTTTTTTTTTTCTATGGTTGAACTGGATGGACTTTTGTCTTTTTTCAGCCAGACTGACTATGTAACTATGTGACTCACCAAAATTAAGGTGGTGTCCTCAGGACCAATAGGATTTGCAACACAAACACCTTTTTGCGGTAAAGAACCCACAAGAAATGAAGTCCAAAAGAGAACAATCTGCGGCTTAGAAAAATATTTATTGAACACTGTTAGATATCATTATGGCAAAAATAGTCCCTCCACCCTACACAAGAGTAAAACACAATGGCAACGCTGTCATGTCATAAAAACACCCGCCCTGGGCAGTCAGACATACCAACCATACCACACTGGATTATGCATAACATGAGAATGGGGCTATGTAGGCTACAAGCCTCATGGATTAGACTGAATATAATATCATATGCAATATCACTGCAATTTGATGATAGTATAGAGTTGCAAACTCACAGGGGCAAAATTGTATGTTAGTGCAAATAAAAAAATGATCACGGACAGTACTCAATTGTTCTGTCGCAAGTGCACTAATACGGCTACAATTACCTCAATCCAATGAATAAATTCCAATGTGGACACAACCCAGGCCAATGATGTAAGCTCACCTCTCCAGATATGGTCACAGATGCCGATGGATCCCCAATGGCTGTATAGTGCTGCTGGTCACGCTCTCCGTGCGGAGTGTAAATCTGACTGCAGTGGCAGATCCAGTGTGGCGTGGCTCATTGGAAAAACCGCATGGGGATGTCTGAATGTCCGGGACGCTGGTGTCACGATGCTGTGCATCAACGCGTTTCGCCCACCGACTCACATGAGCTTCTTCAGGATGCTGCGGTCCACACATCAAGGGCTTATATGGAGACCAATACGTCATTTCCTGATTAACCCACAGGGGGCCGCAGCCTTAAATTGTCACTTAAACATCATGTAATGTTACTATGTCAAATGCATAAAATAGAAAATGAATCAGAGTTAATATGTATACAGTCATACAGCACACTTACTCTGCTACATTCAGTAATATGCCAGTGGACCATAGTACCGTGTGAAAGTAACCAACAAAACTATAAAGAAAATGTTGATCTGTGAATCAAAAAATAATAATAATCCATGGATATGGCCATCCTCCTTACTAATAAAGAGGATATAAAGTTAGGATTCTAAGAAAACCTGTAAACTCAATTCCGTATTCAGTCCCTTGGGCACCAAAGACCCCAGTTTAAACATCCACTCCTTCTCCTGCCGCAGTAGGATTGTATCAAAATCCCCCCTGCGGTTGGAGAGGTTAAGGGCATAAATTGCCTTAACCCTGAGTCCAATAGAAGATGAATGATGAAATCTGGCAAAATGTTCAGCAACTGGAGTCTTGTCCTGCTTATTCATAATGCTACCTATGTTCACCTATGAGCACTTGTAACTGACGCTTAGTCTTACCAAAATATATTTTATTACAGGGGCATTCGAACATTTGCAACACACGTGTTGTCGCACAATTCATGAATTGCTGAATATAATAAACCTTTTGTCCATCTGCATCTGTAAATCTGTCTGTACGGTCAACGAAACTACAAATATGACACGTCCACATGGGTACATACCCCTGAGGGGGGGTAGGTCCGTTAACCAATTTTTAACAGGTGTTCGTCGGTATTCTGACTGCACTAGATTATCCCTTAAGTTCCTAGCTCTTTTAGCAACCATTAGGGGTCTATGGCCAACTCCGGCGACTGTGTCAATATATGCCAGTGCTTGGAAAAAACAGTCCGTGCGTCTTCCCACTGGGTGTCATACTAATTAATGATACATACGAGTGGGTTATCCTGAGGGGGCTTGTCCTCAATATTTGTATTTAAAAGTGACTCTCCTTATGATTTGACTGCCAGTGAAGATCATTACACAAGATTATGTGTGTCAGCATTGAGTAACAACCAGGGGCGGACTGACAACCCATGGGGCCCCCGGGCTATAGTGGATCATGGGGCCCCTGTGTCCTTGCCCAAACTCAAAAAAGCCTATGAAAAAGGTACCAGGGGCATCTCATGGGGCCCCCCTACTGACCCCGGGCCCTCGGGCACTGACCGAGTTTCCAAATGGTCAGTCCGCCCCTGATGACAACCACAAAACAACCACACTGTCTTTTTCCAGATCAGCCTATATTTTTCTTGTGGTTACCTATGGGTTTCTCTTTGTATCCCCAACAATTCTTCTGCCAGTTGTGGCTGCAATATTTCTTGGTCTTCCTGTACTTGGCTTGGTATCAAGAGGTCCCTGAATTTTCTACTTCTTAGTGGAAGTGATGACTGGTATATTCAAGGCTTTGGACATCTTTTTATGTCCTTTTCCATCTTTATAAGGTTACATTACCTTGTTACGCAGGACTTTTGACATTTCTTTTCTGATCCCCATGGCTCAGTATCTAGCCTAGTCAGTGCATCCACGTAAGAGCTAACAAACTCATTGACTATTTATACACAGACACTAATTGCAATTTAAAAAGCCACAGATGTGGAACATTAACCTCTAATAGGCATGTTAACCCGTGTGTGTCACCTTGTGTGTCTGTACCAAGGCCAAACATTCCAGGGTATGTAAACGTTTGATCATGGCCATTTGGGTGATTTCTGTTATCATTATGATTTAAAAAGGAGCCAAAGAACTATTTGGTAATAAATGGCTTCATATGATCATAAAAGAGCATGTTTTGGCATGATGAGTCATATTTTCAATATCAATGCCAAAATTTCACAATTTCTGCCAAGGGATTCAAACTTTTGATCACAACTGTACACCTTCAGACTGGTGGACTGCTATAACCATGATTATTTAGATCTTTTATGCTGATATACAATTTATCTGTGGTTACCTAGGGGCCCCTGCGAGTTTGCAACTCCATACTATCATCAAATTGCAGTGATATTGCATATTATATTATATTCAGTCTAATCCATGAGGCTTGTAGTATACATAGCCCCATTCTCATGTTATGTATAATCCAGTGTGTATGGTTGGTATGTCTGACTGCCCAGGGCGGGTGTTTATATGACATGACAATCTTGCCATTGTGTTTTACTCTTTTGTAGGATGGAGGGACTATTTTTGCCATAATGATATCTAACAGTGTTCAATAAATATTTTTCTAAGCCGCAAATTGTTCTCTTTGGGACTTCTTTTCTTGTGGGTTCTTTGCCTGCAAGCGGGTGTTTGTTACAGGTCACACACTCAGAATGGGTGCCATTACGGGAACTCTTTGAACTTTCTGTACGGTGTTCTCTAAGTGGAGAATTTGTGATGTCACGATCTACACATTCCATTGAGAAAATGCAATGTGTTCTCTAAATGGCGCCCATGCTGAGCGGGTGACCCCCTGTGTTGACTAAACAGAAGGGCAGCTGCACCACCCACAAGCTAGCAGCGATCACTGTAGCAGCCAAGACTACTACAATGATTTCCAACTTCCACGGGGATCCCACAGGTATGGCACATACATATTTACATTGGTCCATACTGCAACAATGTGACTATGTAAAAAAAATTGCTATACTTAACCCCTTGTCCTCCTGAGGATTTACCCCCCTTCCTGACCAGGCCATTTTTTTGCATTACGGTGTTGCGTTACTTTAACTGACAATTGTGCGGTCATGCAACACTGCACCCAAATAAAATTTACATCCTTTTTTCCAACAAATTGAACTTTTTTTCCGTGGTATTTGATCGCCTGTACAGTTTTTTTTTTTTGCATTAAAAAAAAAAAGACTGACAATTTTGAGAAAAAAACAATATTTCTCACTTTTTGCTATTAAACATGTCAAGTAAAAACAAAAAATAATAAAATGTCGGCATACATTTAGGCCAAAATGTATTCTGCTACGTCTTTGCTAAAAAAAACCTCCCAATATGTGTAATTGGTTTACATGAAAGTTATAGTGTTTACAAATGGCAGAATATATACTGGGATTTTTTTTTTTCATTTTTACTAGAAATGGTGGCGAGCAGCGAATTATAGCGGGACGGGACAGGCATTTTGACACTGGGGGGAACGGACTTGGTGTCACTGACATCCCTAATGACACCAACACAGTGATCAGTGCTAAAAAAAGCACTGACACTGTAGTAATGGCACTGGACAGGAAGGTGTTAACATGTGGGACGATCAAAGGGCTAACTGTGTGTTGTTTTATTCTGTGTGCTGTGTCTGTGTGCTTCACTGTAAGCACACTGATTTGGATGGCTGTGCTGTGCACAGCCATCCAAAGCACTGTGAACAAGCTGACAAGGAGGAGAACTGTCGGAGATGCTCGTGAATCGCCAGCCGGGACCCGGTGATTGACAGCCGCAGCCACGAATGGTGGAACGGTTAGGGCGTGCACGTGCCTCATGTGCGCCTCCTACCCGGAAATGCAAAATCATACATACGTGTATATATACGTGATGTTGTGCACCCGTGCCACCCTGTAGCAGTATATCTGTTACAGGGCGGTCGAGAAGCAGTTAAACTTCAGCCTTAAAGTGGTTGTAAGCCTCAGGTATGAAATGTGAACAGAGCATATCCCTCTATAGTGTGTACTTGTCTCAATCCAGGGCACTAAGTATCATTTCTGTCTGCATCTTTGCTCCTCTGCTATCTGTATGAGTCTCTTCTGACAAGTTTTCCTGACACCAAGAGAAAAATGATTGACAGCCTCAGCTCTGTTCCTGTGAGCTGTGTGGAGGCGGGGGGGGGTGTCTCTTCCCTCCAATCAGCTCTCAGAGCTCTCTGCACTGAGCTCTGCAGAGTGTAACTTCAGCTCTCCATCCCCTGTTTTCTTAACTCTCAAACAAGCTTTATTATTTCAGCACTTTGAACTGATGTAGAAAATAGAAGACTGCAGATAAACAGGTACAACTTATGTAGGAGGATTTGTTTCATCTCTGGGTATCACCTGAAGCCAGTCACCTCACTGGGTATATGTAAAGGGTTTACAACCACTTTAAGCTTAGTGCCGCTGC